GTGACGGGTAGCCTACGTCAAGGCGTGCCACATCACCCCCATGAGTGGAATTTGTTGTAGAATGCGCGGATTTTTAACATCCTAATTAGCGCGTACCGTGTCTCAATATGGTCCCCGTTTTGGTCCCACGCATCTACAGAGCGGTTCGTTGTGGGGTCACGATGTTATTTAGCTTTACAGGCATAGGCAGTACCTAATATCTTTGTGGACAAAGCTCGCTTCCTGCTTTTCTCCTTCCCACAGCCCCCATGTCGCGCAACACTCATCCATCTTTAAAGGACAGACCAAGCAAACGGGTCAAATAATTCAGCTCGTTCGTCTGAAAAAAAGTTTATTTGGTAGTAGAAAACGTTGTAAAGAGGAAACAGTTTGCATTTCAAACAGGGGACAGTTTGACAGAAGTGGAGGTTGAGTACACAGTATAGTAAATTCCTGCTCTCGAATCTGGTAGCTTAAATCTATGCAGCATGAGTAATAAGAGTTTTCCTGGCCTGGCGAATATAAATAAACTGTTCTATTTAGCACCCATGAAGGCACTTTCGTGGTTTAGCTTTCGGTTCTTGCTAAGGTCGATACTAGTCTTATTAGGAACGTGCTCACGCTGTTCTTCTGATGCGTTGTTAGGGGCGATTCCAATAAACACCGACCCCAGTTGTTGGCTCTGTATTGGCTGGACCGCCGTTTTTTCTGGAATGGTTGACAGTGATGAGGGTTTAGACCGGAATCGGCATCTAACCAAAGCTATTCCATGTGTTAGTCACTCCTTGTGAATACGCACTTCATAACGACTGACATTAGGGAGCCGGCAGTCCCGTTCCTAACTTTCCGAAACTGCAACTGTAATAACGCTGGAGCGGTCATCTCATGCTGCATGTGCGATCCGAGCCTGAGACTGTCACAGCGCGCTAGACGTCATGGCTTGGAAGATTACCAACTGACAGGATAACACGGACCCCACAGTGAGCCCAGTATATATTTTTGTGAAGTTGCCTACTGGCGGACTGAGAGACAGGCTGAAATGGCTCCTTCTTAATGTGGCCTCTGGCACTCTCTCTCCGTGGGATCTGAGCTGCTCTCCTTCTTTTGTTGTCCAAGATCCATGTCAGTGTGCTCTGAGGGCCAAAGGGTGCATATGGGTAGTGCCTCTCAGTCGACTGACTGGCTACTCGAGCTTGAAAGATAATACACTAGCTTAAATTCAGAACTTCGCCTCGTCCTTATGGGCCTTAAAAATTGTATGCGTATGCCATACCACGGTTCAGCAGACCATGGCCTTAGTGGCCTGGTTCGCGCTGGTAGTTCTCTGGTACCTGATTCCCTGCCGGTAGATGCGTTTGCATTCCCGCTGGGCATACAGGCCATGCGCATGGTTGCCCAGTGACTTGTGTCATCCTCCTCTTTCTGACCCATTTTCGTTGTTGGTTAAAATCCTGGTCAGGTGATTTTTTGTGGATGAATGGTGTGACGGTACGCCTAGGTGCGGGTCCAGCCGCGCCAATCACCTGCGTCCTCTCCCGCCTCCGGTCTTCTTGGCTCCGTCTTGACACCGGGCCCATGTGGGGGAGGAAGTAGTATGGTAGATTCGGCTCAAATCTGCTCCTTCGTCTTTGCTCTCAGACTGCTGTAAAGCACAGGGTAGACATCGTCGACAGCGACGGTCGACCTGTCAGCTTTCCGAAACATGGCACAGCGCTGAACCGTGTCTTACATACTGATGGCCAAATGCTGCCGTATATGTCCACTAGCGTACTTCTGCCAGCTCAGGAGGGGCCGATCTTCCAGTACTTTGACGCCTGGACCACCCAGACGACCTGCGTCACAAAGTATAACTTCCGAGTAGACTCTTTTGTATACGACCTTCCAATCAACTCTAGATGTGTGAGATACGCTAATTGCCGTGACGCGCTGGCTTTTTGACATTCTGGGTACTTTTGAAATCATCCGGTGGGTATGAGTGGATATGCAGGCAGTTTTCAGAGGGTTTTGTGCTTTTGCAGCCCCAGAAACTATATGTGACGCCACATCTTCATGTTCAATTTCTGTCCCAGAACTGCATTTGACGTCACGGCTAGTTGAATGCTTGTCTTGATAGTACTTAGTCACACCTTGACACGATAATACGAACTACTTTCTGATTCTCCGTAAATTGCAACTGTCGTGTTCCTGATGGAAAAACAGCCACAGTCAGGTACCTTGCTCATGGGGGTAAGGAAGATTGGGTACTTAGGTAATGTTATAAACTGGTCAGAAAAGAAACATAGGATTACGTTTTGGACTGTTTTTTTAGGGAGGCCTGAACCACCATTACGGCTATGGTACTGCCGTGAACATACAGTCATCTTAACTCTGAAATAGGCCCTGAAATAAACATAAAATTAAATGTAGAACTGTGTGCTAGCTGGAAAGAAGGAGTAGAATTAATGCTAAGATGACTTGTGCCCGATTTGCGGAAGTGAATAAAAGCTAAGATAGGGGTTTTATGCTAGCTTCAAACCCTACAGCCAGTGCCCGATCTCATGAAATGTTGGCCGAAGTTCTGAAGTACATTTTCTGTTAGGAGTACTATTGTAGTACTTATTCTCATACGGCATAAATCCTATGATATGTCAGACTCGCCTGGGTATTGACTTTTGATTGCACTTCTTTTCAATTCCTGTAAAAACCGCACTCGGTGAAAATGGCTACTTAAGTGCTATGCATTTTTCACATTCATTTTCGATTGATTCAAATATATTTTATAGAAAACATGCATAAAATATGCTTTCTTTTAATCATTTGGTAGCAGCTCGTGTCGTCTTCCCATTTTATGCTCGAAGAAAGAGTATATTTAGGTTTTGAAAAAGTTTTCCACTCCCAGAACAATGTTGGGACAGATCAGCCGTTGGATTATCGTTTGGCGATTTCCATCTAAAAGGTGTATGCTTTCCGCGCAAGGGAAATCATGTATTCTTCTGCGCCCTTAAAAAGGTATCACGTAGAGACCAAGAACTTTTGCAATTGATGCAGACTATGCCGTATACTTCATGAGAAGAATTAATAAACGGACGGGTACTATGCTACTTGTATGGACATCTCGCCGTCTTAAGAGTCTCGTAGTTAGAAACTCTTTAAAAACCAAAAGACCCTATTTCTTCCAGTATAAAATGCAGGGACGACCTGATCTGCTATCAAATGAATAAACTAAAACATATTTTGTTTGCGTTTTTCATAAAATATATTTGAATATATAAGCCCATCGAAAATCAATGTGAAAACGCATACTAATTAAGTAGTCATTTTTAGCGAGAGCGGTTTTTACAGGAGATCGCAAATAAGTGCATTCAAATGCCAATATTCGAGCGGGTCCGCAATATCATAGGATTCATGCCTCACGGTAATCAGCATTAAAACCTCACCTAATTGATCCTCCTTACTGGAAAATGCATTGCGGAATTCTGGTTAACGTCCCATGAGAAGATAAAGATTGGGGCTAGTTCTAATGCCTACCGGCAGCCTGTTACGGTGGCACTGTTCACTCTGACAGCCTAGGATGTCCTTCTCTTTTTGATGACTCGCCGAGAAATCCAGTACAAATAAGTTTATTTCCGATTGCCAGCAAATCGCCAAGATACAAGGCGAAGACATCGGCACTCAGTGCGACTCGATTAATCCCACAGGGAGAATCGGTCACACTTTATTCTGAAGCCGACGTCAAAAAAACAAAGCTACGGGACACTTAAGTTGCTTTTGCAGTCAAGACTGTCATCGTTGGACGAATTCCCTGACTCCCACAGGAAATCAGCAATACCCGCATTGCCGTGATTTTTGCCTCCGCGGTAAGAAATGCGCCGCCGTCCATAATGCCCAAGTTTCTGCACAGATAGGCCTCAAAGAAGTGAATACCGAATCCTACGTAGAACTGCACGTCCTCCTGGCGAACAAACCTGTCGACTTTGGTGACTTTAACGTCCGCAGCATGCGCTGCCTGGGAAAAGGTGCTAGATCGCCACGGAGTTGGGAGTCACGACAACACTGGTCTTCTTCTTTTGCATGCCTGCACGGAGCATAGTCGTCTTCTGGCCAATGCATTCTTCACCTCCCTATCCGGGAGAAGGTGATGAGGATACACCCTCACCCGCGTCACTGACAGCTACCGGACTACCTCCACGTTCGCATACGTGATCTGCGAAATGTTCTGGCGCTGGACGGTCCATCCTCCTGTCATCCCCAGGATGAGGCTCCAACCGCTACCCAACATGCGTCTGTAAGACAAGCGAACACCACGTAAGCTAAGTATTAATCTACTAGACATGTCTGTCTGTCGACTGGACATAAACAATCGCGTACATCTTGTCATTAGTAGCAACAAAACAACTAGAGCACAATATCACCAAGAAGACGCGTCTTCTTGGTGGTATTTACTTGTTGGTAATTACGCGCATTAACCGAACACGAAATATTGGCGTATTGTTGTTATTTTATGTGCATCAATTAATACTTTGGTGCCTTTTCTTGCTTATATTAGTTTAAATTTGACCTCGGCTGTACTGAGTCGTTTACATTCGTCTTCTGTGATATTATAATGTCTCGCTGGTTTCAGGCAACTTCAGCACTTCAAGCCCTCATGCCTGTTAAACAGTTCTTGTTCCCCTTCGTGTTTCGAACCAGCATAGATGACTATCCGCGGTGTTTTATCAACCTATGTCTTTTACCGCTGTCCACACCACCCTTAACAATCCCTTTTTGCAAGTCCCTGTTGAAAACTCGTTGCCCGACTTGGCTTTGAAATCGCGCAGGATGTTTGCAAAAAAGACGCAAGTTAATCAGTGTTTAGGCTAAGACCTCAGTCTTCTTTACCTATGAACGTCCACATCTGACCTCTTGACCCATGAACATTAGACCCAAACTAATCTTCCTACCTTGAACCATGACTAGCAGGGAATTGAAACTTGAGTGGAGTTAAAGTCGGCGCCAGGGCCACGCGCCAATAGCAGTCATCTGCCTTTCTCTTTCCCCTGAGAATGATACCCGAGGGTCTGTCTGCTTTCACACTAGCGCTTAATTTCGCGAGTAATGTTTATGAAAGACGACCATTTTACGCCAGTACGTCAACTCTTTAGATGTATTATCTGGTAGAGTTATATAGGACAATTCCATCCGTTCTCTTGATTTACGGTATCGGCGTTTTCATAGAAAAGCTGATGTTAAAACGCAAGCGAACAAGACTTCTGGCAATCGAACACTACAAATCTATGTTTCCCGAGCGTGTTCCACAACACGGTAGGTTATTTTGTTAGTATCGCGAAATACTTGTTGTTTGACAAACCTCGAGCTCCAGGTTTAAGAGTAGAGGCCGAGGCTCTAGTCTAGGTTCGTATTTACTGGCCATTAGAGCGGATTCACTTGCATTGGTGGCAAAGTGTTTGGTGATTCGTATTTCCTTCACAGAGGTGCTAAGACTGCCCGCTGGCGTCCATTTGTACTCGTGCGCTTTAGCTGTCTAGGCTTATTCTTACTTTTTCTACAATCAACCCTCCAATAGGTAACATATCCTTATCCCTGTTTCTCACGAGCAAATTGACCGTAAGTTACGCCTTTTGAGGCCACTTAAAACCAATACACGAGGAGGATGAAAAGAACGAAGAGCTCCTTGGCGAGTTCACGTGGTGAACTGCATTTGCACTGACGTTTTGGACGTTTTCAGTTTCTATTAGCAAAGTTGTGAAGTGACTCTGCTGGTCTTGTCTGTCTTGTTTTGTAACCGCGTCTGACACCTCTGTTCACAAATGTTTAGCTTCGACCTTTCCCTGGCTGACCGCTGTAATGGTTAGCTATGAAATAAGCAGTCTTTCGGGTCTGGCAAACGAACGATCGCGGAATACCAGTAGCAATACTTCTGGGCGCAGTTGGTTAAGGTCTGGCACACCGTCTGTCTTCGAAAATGCCGCAAAGCCCGGTAACGACACTGTGACATGACGACTGTGAAGCGCCATTGAATTAGTGCTTACCACCTCCGCCTTGTGGTTAGGTTCTTGATTCAAAACGCTAGAGGAGAAAATCTCGAACACACAGTCCGAGCGGCAATTAGGAACCCGCCAGCTCTCAAAATCCTCAGGAAACCTCGTGGGAATATCCGACTAAAATATTACAATCCATGCTACGGCGTCCGCGGAGATCGACGTGCTCCGCAAACTTGATCTGGTGGTGCGAACGAACAGTATGCGAGCTGAACTACTCAATCGTTAACGGACTCTTGATAATGGATGCTGGGATGTGCGAAAGTTCGTGTACCTCGGCGCGCAGTCTTCACTACAGCGTGGATGCCTGCTGCCTGTCTGTAGTCCGAATCCTTGACTCAAGCCCTCTGGAAATAAAGACCCCGGCAGTCAACTTCAGCATTACCCTGTACTACAACGGTCCACTCGACTCTTTTGGTAGACACGATGTGGCAATCGCCTCACAACAAGCCAAACGCGCTCAAATTGTGTGGAAACCTGTCAATGACCAGATAGCTTACGTGCTACTGAAGAATCACTTTACGACATCTATCGCTCCCATGTACGCACCAACATTCTCTGCAGTACAGCGCTGTAAAGAGACCTACTCGAACCTGTAATACTTAGTTGGGAGACCTCTGCTGCGATCTGCTGCTTGTTGCAGGGGACCATAATGGTCGTACTGGACTCAGCGACAGTCACTGACTGTTTTGGACTTGGCTTTCGATGCGACATCGATAAGAGGGTACTGAACTTTTGCCAGAACCAACGCATGCTTCCAGCATCGTCACAAGCATTAGTTGACACGACATTCAAATGGCGGCCCTACGGCCGGTCAGCTCGACGACATTCTACCTGGTTTAGGGTTCTGCAGCTGGGTTTACGGTAGCAGATCGATGCATGTTGCGGAAACTGGTAACGCCTATGGATCGGACCATGTTCTCATACGCACACGCCTGAAAATTAATTTCTCGTCCTCACCCAAGATGTCGCATGCAAGACGCTTCATTGTCGCAAAACTGACAACTTAGCACCGCTGAGGCTCTGAACACAGAAATTCGACCCCGTTTTACGGCCCAAACCGACGGAAAAGGCGGTAGCTAATGGTCATCACTGAAGCTACCAGCCTATGGGGCAACTGAGGATCTACCCAGTGACGCTGCAATGACTGCGTCAGCGGCTCAAATCAGCTCCCACAACGATAATTTGTTCGGTTAACTCCGGAAATTGACGGCAAAATCGTCCAAGGGTGTCTGCAGAACTATTGGGACAGCGACCTTCATGGAGCAGACCTCATACGCTGGAGACACTCGAGAACCCTACCAACTTATTTACCAAGTTACTGGTAAACTCTCTTGACTGAGTGACCCTGTTAGCAATGTGAATGGTGACTTTATTACTGGCAACTCGGCCAAGGTCGATCGCTGGCTTAAGCACTTCAAGCTTTCTCTCGACCTCAATGATCAACCCACCATAGCTTCGCTCTCCTCTGCAGCAGAGTTTCATCCCTCGCAAATCCATGCATTTTTGTGCGACCCTTTTTCGGAGGAAGAATTTGCCGGTGTAATACAAGGACTAAACAACAGCAAGGCACCCTGAGAAAGCGACATTCTTGCTGAAATTTGCAAGTTTTGTATCGACACTCTGGCATCTGTCTCCATAAGGTGGTTGAGCAGGCTTGGGAAGATCCATTTTCTCCGATGACTGGGCTCAGGCATCCTAGTGCTTGCCTTTAAGAAGGGAGATAAGACATGGTGTGGGAACTACCGCGTTACGAACCACATCAAATTTACTGCGGTCTTCGCCAATGTCCTTCTCAGACGATTTCGGACTGTACGTGACTAGGATGAGCCCAATCAAACCGGATTCCGAGCTAGGTGTGAATGACTGGACCAGATATTTACATTGAGGTGCCTTCTGGAATTCAGCCATGGCTACCAACAACTGATGACCGCCTGCCTTGTTGAAATCGCCGCAGCGTTCGATTCCGTCCATTGAGTCCCTGTGGCAGGTAATGGAACTAGATGGTGTGCCGACAGAAATCATCGCCATGGTCAAGACCTACTATCTCCTCACTACTGGGCGAGTTCTAGTCCACAAAAATATACTCCAACCGTTCGAGATCCGGTCTGGTGTTCGACCGACTTGCATCCTGTCACCCATTCTATTCACTAAGCTGTTGACTTGATTATCGGAAGGGTCCGACAAGGTTTTGATAGTGTTGAGTATGCTCTCGGATGTCGGATGACTGATCTCAACTACGCTGACGATATCGCTCTGCTAACCCCGAGCTTTAGTGATCTGCAATCTGTAATGTCGCAGGTGAATGAAGTCCCGAAATCCCTTAGCTCATCCGTAAGCTCTGAAAAACCAAAGTGTTTTCAGGCCGCATCCCTGGTCGGGAAAAGGCGCCCCTCAGGATTAATTAGCTGACAACTTTAAAAAACAGACAGTTTTAAGCACCTTGGACGAAACCTCTACTGAATCAACAAAGGGCGAGATTGTCTCCCGAATCGATGCTACTCGCAGGGTTTTGTCAATCTCTAGAAAGCGCTTATGGATCCCGCACGACATTTTTATCGCCGCGAAGATTCGCATGTACCGTACATCCGCCCGCTCAGTCCTCCTATACGGCTCCGAATGCTGGGCTAGATCGGATATGATGACAGCCGTACCAAGTAGGCACTGGACCATTAACGGACTCGCGTGGCCTCTGTTCCCTTCGCGGCTGTCGTATTTGTCACCGAATTCGTGCGCCTGTTGACCCTGCTGTCCTACTCACTCGCATGACGATCATCAGCACCGCGTCAGCAGCCACTTCAGACGAAGGCTAGGCCGTCGGTGTTCCAATTTTTGCTCGTGAACCCGACCTTGGAAGAGGAAGAAAGTCCTGGGGCACGGCGGAGCCAGCCTTGGAAGGCTGCTATTTGGTGAGATATGTCGGCCTTTCTCAGGAGTGAGCGTCAGGCTACACAAAGACGTGGTGGGAGAGGGTGTAGCACCGTCTTAGTGTACGTTAGGCAGTCCATAGAACCTTAGCCAGGCCGGTCTGTCTTTATCATTGGACGGCTCTTCTGTGATACGGCGGGTGTTGTCTTGATCTGCGTCGCCAGCTTCTTCGTTGGGTCAGCATCGCACCTGAAGAATTTCTGACGGTCCTCGACAGGACCCTGACAGTACTACAATACTCTTATCAGCCTGTAGCGTCCTGAGGACATCCTGCTGCGATTTTGAATCCTTTTGAAGGTTTTCATTGGCTTAGGGTACAAGATGAATCCCCACTTTAGTTAGCTCCTATTGGAATTTGCTGGAATAGGAGTTACGAAAAACTTGGTCACACTAGACGACGACCTTATTGGGTGCAGGTTGATTCAACTTCTGCCATTCGTCAATGCAGTTACCTCCACCAATTTTGTAAATATTACACCCGTTCCTAACGAATGACACTCATCTGCGTTGGCCTTTCGCCTTTGGCGAAGACGCTAATAAATGCTTACGCATTTCAGTCCTCGGGATTATTCTGGCATATTTTCCTTCTCTTTTTTAGTGGAGACTCTGTACGCTGACGTTATTCAACCATGGACACCCAAGCGATGAACATCCAATTCGGATCTCTTTACCTTACTTTTATTCCATTAGATAATTACATATGTTAATAGAAAATCCCTTAATTTAAAACTGCATCGCGAGTGAAATTTCGGTTTCCAGACCGCAAGACTACGTGCATTCGTACTGAGAGCAGGGAGGCAAGGCGAGGGTGGAGTAGGAATAACACGTTCTCACACATCCTGTGTAGGAATGTGCACAGCTGTCGTGGGGAGAGATGCATCTGGAAGCGGCATTAAACACGGGCGTACGATAAGTGCGAAGTTTTCTCTTACTTGACCAGTTTGAAATCCTCTCCCCGCGCACTGATTTATTCGCATCGTCGTGCTACTGTCAAGTCAAACTTTGCTGGACGATTGATTCCCGCGCCCTTCGTGGTTTGCCGCTTTGGGAAAGCACCGGGATGGGTCTGTCACCGACCTGCCGACAGGATCCCTACGCACCTGCGAGTAGTGTTTTACAGTAAAACAGACAGGAAGTTTAGAGAAGTGTGGAGGTCGCGCCCAATCAGCTAGTAAGGAAACCATGTCAATCGAAGAAACGAATTTAGCCTTAAGCGGCCAAACCAATAAGTCGCGAAGAGTCACGTTATTACTGACGGTTTCTTAAAATTAGTTTCGCTTCGCCCTTCAATGGCCTTTTGGGACTTCAGTGACGACGAGTTTCAGTCCTTGTTTTCAAAGGCGTCACCATCGCTACTGTTTGGTAGTACTTTTTTCGTCGACCTCTGAGCGGTCCTTGCGCGCAGCAAATATTCACCTACGCTTGTATTCGCTTGACGAGGAACTTCTGTCCATGCCCCCGACGGTCAATATGCCATCTGGCCTCTTCGTATGTGGAAGAATAGTAACCCTTCCTGCAGCATTAGTGCGGCATCTAGCAGTGCGAGTTTTGGTCGCAGTTCAGTGTAATCCGTTGCCGTCTCCGAGACCCGCCCGTTGTGTTTTGGGTCGCGCGACATCGGGCTGCCAGGCGCCGACAAACTACAGTGTGTGACCGATCTCATGAAATGTTGGCCAAAATTCAGAAATGCGTTTTCGATTAGGAAGGATTACTTAAACACCGTCCTAATACTGATTATCTTGCGACGTAATCCTATAATATTTCGGACTTGGTAGGATGTCAGCCTTTGAATGCATTGCTTTTCAATCTCCTGTAGAAGCCGTACTCGGTAAAAAATGACTACTTAAGTAGCACGCATTTTCCACACTGATTTTCGATGGTCTCGCGTATTCAAATATATTTTATAGAATGGATGAACAAAATATGCTTTCTTTCAGTCCTTTGATGGCGAACTACGTCATCTTCCTTTTTTCCACTCGAAGAAGGCGTATAATTAGGTCTTATTGTTTCTAATTATGAGATTTTTGAGACCGTGTGATGTCCATTCATACAGCATTGTACCTATCCGTTTACCACTGTTCCTCATGAAATGTACAACATAGTCCACATCCATTGCGAAATTTTATGGACTCTATATGGTATCTTTATAATGGCATAGAGAAATATGTGATTTTCTTTACGCGGAACTCATGCACCTTCTAGACTGAAATCACTAGCGGCTAATGCAACGGCTGATTAGGCTCCAAATTATTAAGCAATTAGAAGACTTTTTTAAAAACCTAATCATACGCCTTCTTCGAGTATAAAAAATGAAGATGACGTAATTCGCCATCAAAGGACTGAAAGAAAGCATCTTTTGTTCATTCATTCTATAACATATATTTGAATTCGCGAGACCATCGAAAATCAGTGTGAGAAATGCGTGCTACTTAAGTAGTCATTTTTTACCGGGTACGGTTTTTACATGAGGTTGAAATGCAGTGCATTCAAAAGTCAACATTCCTAACAGGTCCGAAATATTATAGGATTACATCGCAAGATAATCAGTATTAGGACGGTGCTTAAGTAATCCTTCCTAATCGAAAACGCATTTCAGAATTTTGGCCAACATTTTATGAGATCGATCACGCACTGTAGGCCATCCCTGCCTCAGCAACGTCACAATGTCAGCTGTGGTCAATAGGGGGTTAAAGTCGCCCTGAGCGATCAGCCATTGGCTTTGTGCTCAGGGGATCACTCATGAAAGTGTGCTTGCGCGCCTTCGTTATGCGGTTTCACTGCCGCGGTTCTTGTGGTTCGCATCGCGGGCTTTTCATTACTGTTGTCGCAAAAACGGGCGCATTTTGTGGCCAACTCCGAGCCGTTGCCAGGTGTAATGCAAATATCCGTGCTGAAGTTGGTCATTCATGATTACGCAGTGGGGAACCGTCACGTGGGTGGGCCAGTGCCCGTTAGTTTCGTTGCGCCAAACGACTGGGAGCTACAAAAGCCAGCGTTCCCCAGCCCAGGTGACTTCCAAGGAACACTCAAACTCCAAGGAACCAAACGAACTGCTAGGTCGGGGCACATTCAGTCAACTCTCCGCTAGATTCACGCGCAGTGCATGTGCAGGCACTGACAACAAGCATGACTGAACCGTGAGTTCTCGGCCACGGCTCAGAGTTCATGTTACCAGGAAAGCGACCAGGACGCACATGAGCTAACCGTCGGAGGGGTACTATTCTCATCGTAGGGCTTTCGTCTGTCTTTATTCATAGGTTTGGTGCCGACAGGACGAAACTCGCCTACGGTGTCGTAAGTCGACAACTCTGCAACCGAGGCATATTCTACAAAAAACATTGCAAGCGGTGCTTTGGGGATCGGTCTTGAGCCACGCCGGCAGCCGCGTAGCGGTTCCCCCGGCTCCCGGTTGTGTGTGTGGCTGGCTAGCGATGACTGATAAGTCAGAAGTGATTGTTCGATAATTTGTCCATATTACTAATCTGCTAGTAACAGGCAGCCTCCCAATCTGCGTTGTTCAGCGCGTCGTGATGGGTGCCGGTAGATGCGTTTGCGCCCCCGCTGGGTATACGGGCCGTGCGCATGGTCGCCCAGTGACTCATTTCCCCCTTTTTTGGTCCATTCTTTTGTTGGTTGAAATTCTGGTCAAGTGCTTGTTGTGGACCAGGAGGTCTGGTGGTGCACCTTGGCGCGGGTCTGGCCGTGTTGGCCACCTGCGCCCTCTGCCTCCGGTCTTATTGACTATGTCTCATCAGGGGCCCAGATGGGAGAGGAGGGGAGAGTGTAGTAGGAGCTGCGCAAGTCTAGACTCATTGCAAACTAAATTACGCGTAAGTCACTGTACCTGCTCTCACCTTGCTGTGGAGCACGCAGTGAACAGCGTCGGCAACGACTGTCGGACTGTCGGTTTGTGCGTGTGCATTGGGGGTCGGGGGTGTCCATTTGTGGGTCAAAAGAAGAGGGGGCGTTCACCGGGAGGGGTCCACGTGATGGACGTAGTAGGTCGTTCACTTGTTTACGGATGTTGACTACGCCCAACTTCCATTAACTGGTATCCAACTGTCCCATGTGACTCCTGGAGACTGGGTCCCGCCTAGCGGCCACCCCGGTAACCGCCTCGACCAGCAGGCTAAACCAGCTGAGAGTATCCGTGCGTGGGACACACACGGTAACTCTTCTCCCCTCCCTCTCTCATTGTCCCCCGTCCTTCCACTCACCCCTTCACCTCCCCCTCACTCCCCTTCTCCCCCTCCCCGTTCGTCACTCTATGTAATCTCTACCCTACTTTTTTTCCCCATGGTCGAAAAGTCCTTTGGCGTGGTTGATATGCAGTCGCGTGGGCAGACCAGGCCAATCGGGTCGTCCTTCCACTAACCTTATATGTGACCCATAGGGGGAGCGGCAGCCATCTCGGACGACTAGGCAGCCCTATTTGGAGATAGCACTTTATTTCCCCCACGAGAATAAAAGAGCCATAAAAGGTTCTCCAAACAAATGCTGGGTTCACGGCATGTGCACGCAGACCGTGGTTCGCGGACCGCACTACCTGCGGTTGAAGTAGTCCAACAAGAAACAATAATATCTCTTTCCCTTTCGAGTCCCCTCCGCCCCACCCCACAGGCTGCTAGGGTGAGTCCGCACATTCCGGCAGCCTGGAATGTTCGTTCTCTATAAGCAATCCGAGGAGCAACCGCCTGGAACAGGGAACGATGCTAGTCATTCGGGAACTGGCGCTACAAGGTGGACATCACTGCACTCAGCGAGACCCGGTTCTGTTGCTACTCGGCTGGCAGCCTTCCGAGTCACGGCTTTCAGCGCACCGTGATAAATTCAAAAGCGCCAGATTGTTTAAAGCGAGGAAATTTCGCGGAAACTCGGCCTCACTCTCCTCTCTCTCTCTCTCTCTCTCTCTCTCTCTCTCTCTCGCTCTCTCTCTCTCTCTCTCTCTCTCTCTCTCCCCACATAGCGGACTGTTGGATGCCTCTTGTAAGTCGGGACTACATTATGCTCGCCTTACCAAGCAGAGGTAGAGCAACACGAAATTTCGTTCATCCGGTGGCACAACTGATAGGACGCATGACGTGGAGATCAGAGTTTGGCGGTTCGATTTCGCCACAGTGAAAAGAATTTTTGGCTGCATTTTTTAATACTTTAGTAGTCTGTTAATTAATTCCGAGCTTAAACCTGACGATCTGGTTGGAAGCTACGACCTCCGTGACTGTTCTGCCGCCATCCTACGACAGTGTTTCGACGCAATTTCGCTTATATACTTCGCATTTTGAGCCTAAATACCTTTGATTATTGGAGGTCTGTGAGTGAGGCTTTCAGTTGAATCGCTACGATCTGAGGGATCGATCCGTTAGTGGCTGCGCCATGCGGTTGGTAACTGAAACGTCCAACACTGACGGTTGGTAGGAGCGGCAAAGCAACCCCGTCCATCGTTTCTTACAGGGGCTACCATCATCTGTGGCAATTTCAAGACTCATCAGATTTGCTAAGGTGAGGACTGCACTCCTGTGCCGTGGCATTGATTTATCCAGCGCCAACCTTGCTCACTCTTCCCTCTTCCATGCACCAATCAGCTGTCCGAGCCTGTCAACCGGCCGATAATGGAATTTGATGCAGCGGCAGACGGAACTGGGACAGTC